CGGCGGGCCCCGTTGCGCCGGCTGCTGAAACTGACCAGCGGCGGCTGAATCAGGGACGCCTGGGGCAGAGCCGGACTATCGGAAGGGGAGGGCTATGAGGAGTCTGGGGGGGCATCCACCCCACCCCAGACCCCTCATAGCCCCCCCCTTCTGAAAGTCCGGCATATCTGATAATCTGGCACCCCTTGGGTCCTAAAAGTGCCAGATTATTGGAAGTTTACTGTATTATGGTGCTCAAGATTGCATTGAAGGTGGAGTCCCCACTAATCACATAATACTCTGCAAAATTATGGACTGACACCCACATTGCCACTCTACAGATTTATGATATAGAAAAGTTCTTGAAGATGGCAACGGATGAAGATATCCTATTTGCTACTATGGAGGTATCATATTACAAATCTGTAACTTGTCTAATGCAGCCCAAGACCCACTTTTTACTATTACTCAGATTATATTCAAATGACTGAGCTTCTTACAGCACAAGATCTATACAGGATCATGGGTATAGCTATTCCAGATATAGTTTGGATTGATCTGCAGTGCAAACAAGCAGCCAGAGCACTAGACTGAGATGTGGCCTCAATTTGTGGTTCTGCCACTGGTCTGCTGAGTGATGTTGGGTAAGTCACTATTTCCCTGTGCCTCAGTGCCCCCATCTGTAAAATGGACATACTCACTACTTTCAGAAAGTGCTCTGAGATCTCCTGATGAAAAATCCTCATAGGTATTACTATATGGGAAATTTCTCCATATTTAGAAGGCCCTTCTGCACATAGCTATGAGTTTATGAAAAACACATTTACATTTTAACATAGCCCTTTATCATGTTATATATGCTCATTTGCATAGCATATAGTTCAAAAGGCCATGCTCAGAATCATCCTCCATGCATTTAAGTTACACCAAACACATGGCTTAAATTTTGCTACAGCAAGGTAGCCCCATTTTGGTAGAACAAAAGCCACCCCCTGGGTCATCTCATATACTTTAAGGTCAGAAGGGACCATCATGATTATGTAGCAGTGTAACTTCTAGCACATCGCAAACCACAGAACCTTGCTCACCCACTCTTGTAATAGAACCCTAACCTCTGACAGTTACAGAAGTCCTCAAAACATGATTTAAACACTTGAGATGACAGAGAATCCACCATTTTCTCTAGTTTAAACCAGTAAGTAACCCATGCCCAGGCTCCAGAGGAAGGTGAAACCCCCCCGAGCTCTCTGCCAATCTGACCTGAGGAAAAATTTCTTCCTATCCCAAATATGGCAGTTAGACACTGATCATGTGAGCAAAACTCACCAGCCAGACATCTGGACAAGAATTCCCTTTAGTAACTCAAGAGCCCTCCCCACTTACCGTCCCATCTCTAGCAATTGGACATATTTGTTATTAGGACTTGCAGATGGGCCACATGCCATCATCATAACATCCCCTCCATAAGCATATCAAATGCAGTCTTGAAGTCAGGCAGGTTTTTTGCTCCTTCTAATCCCCAGGATAGATGGTTCCAAAACTTCTTAACAATAGGTACCACACTAGCAATTCTCCAGTCATTTGTTACAAATTTACAAGTTTACAAATTCATTTAAAAACACTGCTGTGAAGTTTCTTAGACCTTGATTATGCAATTTTCCCTCACCAGGAGATTATGTCAGTTTCAATTAGGGCATGTGATGTTTGGAATGAGCAAGGATAAGCCATGAATTTCCCAATAATATCTATGTCTAAGAAAAGAAAAACTAAGCTTTGAAACAACAGAGATGTAAGTAGAACAGGGAATTTTCAGTCAGATGCAATCAGGTTATTTTCTTGGTTTCTGGGACTTACCTGTGCTGATATAAAAAAACCCCTTGTACACTGTAACTGAAACTGAACAATCTGTTTGGGGTTTTTTTTAGTTGCTCTGTAGCACCTACCAACCAAGTATGTTTTATCAAATATAATTTTTTGTTATAAAATTATGTTTTAAAGATTATAATTTCATTTCTGTGTCTTAGAAGACAGGAGATTCTATGTCTATGAGCTTGAACTGAAGGTGAGCTATTAAGAGATTACAGTTTGTTTTTAAACTCTCTCTTAAGGAAGGGTTAAAGAGCTTGGGGTTACCCCACAGGAAGAAGTTCTCAAGTGCGTATTCCTGGCTTTCAAGTGGTTTTTGCATTTGGGTGGTGGCAACATACCGCCCAAGTCTGTGACTTTGGGGAGGGTATTTTAAGGTCTCTTTCAGGCCCCCACCTTCTACACTCGAAATTCCAGAGTGGGGAACAGCCTTGACAGGGCATAATTAAGGCATAATTCTGTCATGGAGTCATGGAATCTGTGAATTTCTTCAACCTACATGACTACTTCCATGACCACCCACAGGCGGCTGAATCAGGGACGCCTGGGGCAGAGCCGGACTATCGGAAGGGGAGGGCTATGAGGAGTCTGGGGGGGCATCCACCCCACCCCAGACCCCTCATAGCCCCCCCCTTCTGAAAGTCCGGCATATCTGATAATCTGGCACCCCTTGGGTCCTAAAAGTGCCAGATTATTGGAAGTTTACTGTATTATGGTGCTCAAGATTGCATTGAAGGTGGAGTCCCCACTAATCACATAATACTCTGCAAAATTATGGACTGACACCCACATTGCCACTCTACAGATTTATGATATAGAAAAGTTCTTGAAGATGGCAACGGATGAAGATATCCTATTTGCTACTATGGAGGTATCATATTACAAATCTGTAACTTGTCTAATGCAGCCCAAGACCCACTTTTTACTATTACTCAGATTATATTCAAATGACTGAGCTTCTTACAGCACAAGATCTATACAGGATCATGGGTATAGCTATTCCAGATATAGTTTGGATTGATCTGCAGTGCAAACAAGCAGCCAGAGCACTAGACTGAGATGTGGCCTCAATTTGTGGTTCTGCCACTGGTCTGCTGAGTGATGTTGGGTAAGTCACTATTTCCCTGTGCCTCAGTGCCCCCATCTGTAAAATGGACATACTCACTACTTTCAGAAAGTGCTCTGAGATCTCCTGATGAAAAATCCTCATAGGTATTACTATATGGGAAATTTCTCCATATTTAGAAGGCCCTTCTGCACATAGCTATGAGTTTATGAAAAACACATTTACATTTTAACATAGCCCTTTATCATGTTATATATGCTCATTTGCATAGCATATAGTTCAAAAGGCCATGCTCAGAATCATCCTCCATGCATTTAAGTTACACCAAACACATGGCTTAAATTTTGCTACAGCAAGGTAGCCCCATTTTGGTAGAACAAAAGCCACCCCCTGGGTCATCTCATATACTTTAAGGTCAGAAGGGACCATCATGATTATGTAGCAGTGTAACTTCTAGCACATCGCAAACCACAGAACCTTGCTCACCCACTCTTGTAATAGAACCCTAACCTCTGACAGTTACAGAAGTCCTCAAAACATGATTTAAACACTTGAGATGACAGAGAATCCACCATTTTCTCTAGTTTAAACCAGTAAGTAACCCATGCCCAGGCTCCAGAGGAAGGTGAAACCCCCCCGAGCTCTCTGCCAATCTGACCTGAGGAAAAATTTCTTCCTATCCCAAATATGGCAGTTAGACACTGATCATGTGAGCAAAACTCACCAGCCAGACATCTGGACAAGAATTCCCTTTAGTAACTCAAGAGCCCTCCCCACTTACCGTCCCATCTCTAGCAATTGGACATATTTGTTATTAGGACTTGCAGATGGGCCACATGCCATCATCATAACATCCCCTCCATAAGCATATCAAATGCAGTCTTGAAGTCAGGCAGGTTTTTTGCTCCTTCTAATCCCCAGGATAGATGGTTCCAAAACTTCTTAACAATAGGTACCACACTAGCAATTCTCCAGTCATTTGTTACAAATTTACAAGTTTACAAATTCATTTAAAAACACTGCTGTGAAGTTTCTTAGACCTTGATTATGCAATTTTCCCTCACCAGGAGATTATGTCAGTTTCAATTAGGGCATGTGATGTTTGGAATGAGCAAGGATAAGCCATGAATTTCCCAATAATATCTATGTCTAAGAAAAGAAAAACTAAGCTTTGAAACAACAGAGATGTAAGTAGAACAGGGAATTTTCAGTCAGATGCAATCAGGTTATTTTCTTGGTTTCTGGGACTTACCTGTGCTGATATAAAAAAACCCCTTGTACACTGTAACTGAAACTGAACAATCTGTTTGGGGTTTTTTTTAGTTGCTCTGTAGCACCTACCAACCAAGTATGTTTTATCAAATATAATTTTTTGTTATAAAATTATGTTTTAAAGATTATAATTTCATTTCTGTGTCTTAGAAGACAGGAGATTCTATGTCTATGAGCTTGAACTGAAGGTGAGCTATTAAGAGATTACAGTTTGTTTTTAAACTCTCTCTTAAGGAAGGGTTAAAGAGCTTGGGGTTACCCCACAGGAAGAAGTTCTCAAGTGCGTATTCCTGGCTTTCAAGTGGTTTTTGCATTTGGGTGGTGGCAACATACCGCCCAAGTCTGTGACTTTGGGGAGGGTATTTTAAGGTCTCTTTCAGGCCCCCACCTTCTACACTCGAAATTCCAGAGTGGGGAACAGCCTTGACAGGGCATAATTAAGGCATAATTCTGTCATGGAGTCATGGAATCTGTGAATTTCTTCAACCTACATGACTACTTCCATGACCACCCACACTTGGTGACTGGTCCAGAGCTGCCAGAGCATTAGTCCTGGGATGGAGAAACAGCCAGGGTTGGTAAACCCCCTTTCTCCCTCCCTGTGGGGGGAGGAACAGTGGCAGGATTAGAGTAGCTGTCAGAGGTTGACCCTTGACAACGCTCCAATTGTTAGTTTTCCCCCAAGCTATTATTTAGTAAAAGTCATGGACAAGTTGCGGGCTTCCAAGAATTTTTATTTACTACCTGCGACCTGTCCCTGACTCTTATTAAAAACACCCATAACAGACACTGAACCTTAGGCATGATGCAAGGCAATCACTGCTTTTGCATGAATCTGTGCTGGTGAGTTAATACATGATTTGAAAGAAAGTTTCTCCTTTTCATCACTAATTTTGCTTTAAAGTATAATAGTCTTTCAAATATTTCAACACAAAATCTTGTAGGTTTATAATAAGGTACATTTTATAATAAAAACAAATACATGAGGTGCTGTTTTTTCAATTAACAGTAGTACCTTTTCTGTGAGCTGAACCTCAGAGAGGGTCTGATTTTCCAACTCTGAATGACTGACGGGTGGAGCAATGGGACGGCAGCAGACCATTGTCACCTTGATAGGCAGCTCTTTTAAAATATTTACCACATCCTTGTGATTTTCCCCAAGCAAGGATATTTCATTCACCTGAGGAAAAAACAGAACAAAACATATTCCATAAAAACACAAAGAATAAAAATGAGAATAAACTTGCTGGCATAAAGAAAAAAAAGGTCTCAATGGATTTACAGATGTTAAGGACAGAAAGAACTGCTCTAAGCATCTAGACTGACGACCTGCATAACAGAGGCCACCGAACTCTCCTGAAATAATTCCTATTGAACGAGAGCGTCTCTTGACTTCATGAAAACCAAACTTAAATCAATGTCTTTAAATTTTATTTTGACTAAATCCTGAATGTCTGTACACTTCTTGGCCCAACAGATACTGGACTTTTGAAATTCAACTACTAGCTGCTCATTTTTTATATTTTATTTAAAGAATTGTGTGTTACAAGAGATGCCACATCCAAAAGTGAATGAGATGTAAGAAATCAGACTGCCTTTTCAGAACCTTACTATATAAGGGATCCAAAATAAAGTGGGAATTCTGCCTTACTTCCAATAGCTCATCTCCACTAAACAGCTTGCCACATCGTCCAACTGGCCCTTCTGGTAGAACCGATCGGATGAAATGATGTCCCACTGCAGCTTCCAAGCTTATGCCTAACCCGCTGCTTTCACTAAATTTGTTAACTTCAGCCACCTAAAAACATATTGAGAAAGTTTTATGCAGCACACAAAAAGACGTTTTTATTTTTCAGTTAAATTCACATATAAAAATGGTAGTCAGATATATTCTGCTTTTAAATTACAAATTCACTCATTTGAAAGAGCATCTTTGCTCATTAGTTTTACATCAAACACAAGATGGAATCACAACAATAGATATTGAAAAGAAGCAGCCAGCTGTAACTTCCCATTCTACTTAGAGGACTGCAAATGCTGGTAGTAAAGACTACCATATAAATGAAAGGTATCCAGGTGGAAAGTCGTATAAAAGGAATGAAGGCTAAAATCAAAGGGCTCGATCTAGCAGAAAGTATACAGCTACAAAGGCTAATATGGTATTTTAAAAGGGAAATGTCTTCTATGTTTGCAACATTGTTGTACTGTGTTAGTCCCTGGATACCAGAGAGAGGGAATGGGTGATAAAATATCTTTCATTGAACCAACTTAGGCTGATGAAGAGACAAGCTTTTGAGTTCCACAGAGCTCTCCCCAGCCCTGAAGAACAACACTTTTGAACTTAAAGCTGGTCCAATAAAATCTATTACCTCACTCACCTTGTGTCTCTCAGGTCTCCTACTCAACAGACATGGATAGTTAGGCATTCTACAGAGACACTTTCCTACTGGAGCTGTCAAGCAGACATATGCCAAACATATCTGTAAAATGGAATTTACTACATTTACAGATCTCAGCTTTGCTAGTCACTTAGGCTACGTCTAGACTGCAAGCCTCTTTCAAAAGAGGTTTTTTAGAAAGTATCTTTCGAAAAAGCCTCTTTCAAAAAAGAGCATCTAGACTGCAAGCAGTACTTTCGAAAAAGCAAGCCGCTTTTTCGAAAGAGAGCACCCAGGCAGTCTGGATGCTCTCTTTCGAAAAAGCCCTGTTTGCATTCAAGAACTCCTTTTTTCGAAAGAGTACTTTCGAAAAAAGGCATTCTTCCTCGTGAAATTAGGTTTTCCGCCGTCGAAAGAAAATCCGCGTTCTTTTGATTTAATTTCGAAAGAACGCAGCTGTAGTCTAGACGCAGGAGAATTTTTTTCGAAAAAAGGCTACTTTTTTCGAAAAAACCCTTGAGTCTGGACACAGCCCTTATGGGGATGAAGAGATCGGAGCCATGAACTCACCTTCCCCTGCTCTGCATACTCCTTTAAGATGCTGCATATTTCCAGGGAGTGCAGAGAAGAAGTCTTTGTGCACAGAAACTGAAATTCTGCCTCCCTCTATACTGACTGCACAAGAGGGTAGGCTCTTTCTACATCAATTCAGAATTGCATATACAAATACTTTAACTGCTTGTATTAATGGACAGTTACATAATTATCCAGTTACCACACAAAATTACCCCTTTGAGCCTGTTTAAATGCAGTCACTGTACAAGAAAGTTATATATGCAATACTGAAGTCATTGACTGTGTATATTTGTGGGTATTCAATTTTGAAAAACCAATCCCTACATTGTTTTCTTTGTTGTTTATTATAAATGCATCAACAGTAGTTTGATCATATATCAATCAAAATAATTCACTGGTAACAAACTATAGATGGAAGGTCCCAAAGTAGAGTTGAGTGACTAACTGATTTTTCAGTTCAGTAGCAGAACAAAATCCTGAAATAAATATTGTTCATTATGAACCAAAATTGCATATTTTCATGTTTTTCTTTCCAACATGAAAATCTTTTATTCAGGTTGAACAAAACATTTGATATGAATCAATAATTTCAAAATGAAATGACATTTCATTTCCAATATGCTATTCTGAAATAAAGTGTCAAAATGTTTTGTTCAAAAACGTCAAAGCATTTTGACACTTTTCTTTTTCACGTGGCCAAAATTACTCACTAAATTTGTAAATTGTTTTAGCACCCACAAAATCCATTTTCTGGAAAACAGAAAAGCTCAGAAGCCTGGGCTTATTTTTGTTTGTCTGGCTTGCTACATAAAAATACATTTAGAAGAAAAATTACAACTTTATATTTGGCATTTAAAATGGAAAAAAACACACATTTAGTGAGTTGGTAGTTTCAATTTTGCATTTTTTGCATGTATACATTTTACTGTAGTAAATGTTACTGATAAGCACTAACAAGAACATTTAATAGTAATAATTAGGGTTTACATACCACTATCTCATAATTTGCACCCATAATCCTCTGCCATTTATTCTGTAACACTGCTTCTCCTGTGGAAGTTAGATGGAAACCTAGAAATTGTATTAAAAGATTACTACAGTGAAAACGTAGCAATCTTATTTCTATAGTGAGTAAAGTACCTGGACTGTAGCAAAACTTGCACAGTATTTCGTAATACTGGAAAAGCTATCATACATTATTTCAACTTGCAATGTGTTTCCTCCCCAGGTTTAGATTTAACATACATGCACATTAAAAATTTTAATATGGAAAAAGGGTTGGAAAGATAATTTACTCCATTATGGCTTTAGAGTTTTACCTGCAACACACAAACCTTTCATCTACATAACATGTCAAAATATTTAAAAACTACTTATACTATTTGTTTCTATTGCTGCTCTTAGATTTATATTTCAAATACTACATAATCGCAGAGTGAAGGCCTCTTCCTAAAAATACTACTACTTTTGTGTCTTTGCTTTTTATATTTAAAGCTAGTCCGAACAGCTTTTAGCACCTACTAACTCATTTATTCCATTCAGTGCTGTGTATGCTTCAAGAAGCTTCTTTCAACTTCTCTCTTCAAAAGAATGCAGTCCTCATTTGTCTGACTTTTCTGAATAACTAAGACCCTAAGGGTCTCTTTGGTTACTTTCTACTGTAACATCAGCATTTCTATGAATGGAGAAACTGCAAGTACATTCTATTTTTTTTGCAAATTTCTCCATTTTTTTGAACCAAGAGTCAAAGACTATAACATCGGTAGCTCTAAATGCTCTTTTTATCTATTACACTGATGTACATTACAAAGATAGCTTCCCCAATTATCACCTCTAATATCATTAGCTCACAGACATTTAAACACCCCCCCATTCCACCTCAGTTCTGAATTTGATTTGTCCTTTTCATATGTGTTCACTTTATTTAATTGTATCCCTTTGTTATATATGGTCATGCCTATTTTCTTCCACAATTTGATCTGAGGAAGTGGGTCTGGCCCACGAAAGCTGATCACCTAATAAACCATCTTGTTAGTCTTTAAAGTGCTACATAGTCCTGTTTTTTGTTTCAGCTAGACTAGACTAACACGGCCACATCTCTATTACTGATGTACACTTTCAGTGTAACAAAATCATATTATATAATAGGCATATCTAAATTATACTATTGTGTGCTGATGTAAAACGAAAACTAGTCATGGTAAGAGACAGTATAAAGTCTTAATATATGAAATTTTTCCAAATGCATGAAGTCCAGCCAAAAAGCTAGAACAACAACAAAAAGAGACAGAATGACACATGGAGCCAAATATTCGGAAGTACCCTCAACCTAACCTCAACATTTGTAGGAATAAGTTATAAGCATATCCCAAATGTCTGTGTTACAGAGTGCATGCACCAGTTCGGTATTTCAGTATTTACAGCTCTGATACTGCAAACTGCTCCTCATGAGCAGGCCTCTGTGCTCATGTGGACCAGTTTCCATGGCAAGAGTGTAAGTACCCAATTTGCACACATGAATCTGAATTTTCATGCCATCAGAACTGAAAACACAAATTTAGAGGCTGCTTTAGAAATTGTGGTCTCTAGAGGGCAGTGGAAGAATGAAATCCCCGAGTCAAATTTTCTTCATAAAAGAGAAATACATGCATCAGATGTTATGGGAACAACAAAGGCTTTATTAGAAAAGGAGGAGGGAGCAAAAGAGGCAGATGCTGTGAGAAACAATCACATGCTAGTAAATCAAGGCAGTAAACTCCAGTCACTCTAGCATGTTGTAAAATGTATATGCAACTGAAAGCTACAAAGAAACAGAAATTCTGCATTGTTCATTTTTTGTCATTTGAACTGATACAATTCTAGGAAGGGAAACAAAAGTGTTTAGATAGAAGAGCAAAGAGATACACACATGGAAATCTGAATTCTCATGGGGACACGGACACAAACCAGTAAGACCATAGAAGGGTATAGAATAAGCTACTAGAACAAAGCTACAAAGATTGAATTGTTAGAACAATATTAAGAACAAATTCTCCAAACATGGGAGTGTAATGATAGGCTCATGTCAAAATCCCAGCTACAGTTGCCTCATCAACTTTCAATGGGAACTGTCTCTCTCATTCTCTAGGCTGTTTCAAAAATCCTGGCTCTAGCCTATATTAAGGCACTTATATTTATTTATATGTCTACTGATACTCAAGTTTGAAAATATTTTTCCCAAGATCAGAAGACTCAGTTGGGAACGAACATCTGAGTGGAACCACTTTTAAAAATAAAATTAATAAATACATTTGATCATCTATCTAGAATGATGGAAAACAGGCTGACAGAGAACTCAGAAAAGTAGCAAATTAGAGCATTAACTAGGATGACATTTTTCAGCTGCTCTCTACGTATGGAATGTGCAGAACTTTTAGAGTGAATAGAGTTAGAAAATAAAAATTGCAGCAAAGAGAACGGGAAGCTCGAAGTATTTCAATGAGCAAGAATGGTCTCAGTTTCAAACACTATCAGAGAATAGAGATCCCGAAAATAATTAGGAGATATATCACAGGGAAGTAGATCAGAAGAATTACAAATCCTGGGATTAGTGTTGAATAGTCACAGAAGATTGGGATGAAAATGCCTAACATGGAAAATAAAGAATCTAGTGAGTAAGAGCAACTGGAATAAGCTTACTAAACTAAAAGGATATTTGCTAAAGCAAGACTGCCTCATGTTTTGCTTTAAACAAGGAGACACAACTCTTAGCCTAAGTATATACAATTACACTTAATGACAATATTTACTTTAGTACAAACAGAATTTCCAAACACTCTTCTAGGTTTCGTTATTTCCATTGTTGACCTAGAAAATCTGATACGTATACTGCAGTTAACACCAGGGAACCTGTGCAAAATGACTGCTCTTTAACAATCAGTACATGCCAGTGCTTTTTCAAAGGAAAAAGGAATGTTATTAAGAACCTGATTTTTGTTGTTTACTGTCCTCTCCACCGTGTACCATAGCAGCACTGCACGGCAGTGGAGGAGATCCTTGTTCTCTTTCACATAGTTCTGGAAAAGAAAAAGATCCTCAGCCATTCTAGGCATTTTAATGCTCATCAAGATCTCTGCCATCCTGTGAGATGCTAAGAGTCCATGCTACCAATGGAGCTGGGTAGGAGGACTCTTAATGCCTTGTAGGCTCTGGCTCTGTTCTTCAGTGTTGAAGAAATGATTGCAGGATGTGGCACATTTAAAAATGTTATTATTTTCTTTTAAATGTTACGTTTTTATTATCAGTTTTCAATAAAAGTAGAACATCCATAATTTTTTGGATCCATTATTGTTATTTGGAGGTATAAGGACATAATTGATGGACACCGAACAAATGCAAGTCTCCTTAACATTGATGTATCGATTCTTTTTTGTTGTCAAGGTACTGACATTGATCAACATCCCTGCCACTGCCCTTCCCCAGACTTGGCCCTGCTGCCAGCCCAGTTTACCTGATGGCCCCGCCGGGCAGCCCAGCTAATTTTTTCAGGAAGAACAGCTCTTGCGCAAGAGGGAGGTTTGGGGCAAAAAACTCTTGTGCAAAATCAGCCCCTAATTAATTATGCAAATGAAGTGTGGCAATATGCTAATCTGTGCTTCATTTACATAGGCTTTTGCACAAGAGGGATGCAGTGTAGACGTAGCCAGAGAGTCCTGCTTCACAGAGGTTCAACTTGTACAATGTCACATATCCTTGGACTCTGATCAACTCATGGACTACTTCTTCCTTTATGTGCAAATACGGCAAATCTAGATTAACTGAACTGCTATCAACAGGCTGGAAACCTTAGGACAGTAAGCACATTATTTTCAAAGGAGGGCTCTTGCCATAAAGAAAATAAACTTCATAGCCTTTGGCTGAGCCTTAGGAGAGCTAAAGCTTGAAGACAGTGTAAATGGTCTAGTCTCACAAGATTTTGCATGAAGGGGGCGATTATGCTTTAACTTGTGAGTTGGGATCTATTTCTGTTGACAACAATCAATGGATTAAATGAGTTAAGAATTCTTTATATGCATCAAGAGTCTGTATGATAGGGCACTATATCATCTAAAATATTAACGAATTACTGGCAGTACACATATATTCACTACTTGAGATACATGATAAATTAATAGGTACTTCCATTAATACCTTACTTATCTGAATTTCAGTCACTTGCAAGCCTAACATTTCACAAGGACTTCTGACTGGGGTATGTTTAATGTACTTAAAAGTACTGTCCAAGACAGGATGTGCCCATCCTCTACCAGATGCCCTTTTATAGCCTGCTCCCATGAAGGGTATGAGTCTTTGCTAACAGCGCTTGTCCTTATAAACAGCTTCACTCACATGAGCCACAGCACAACTTTGCACTCTCTGCCTCACGTCATGCAAGGACTTGAAAGACCATTAGTAGAGACTAGTGCACAGATTTCAAAATCTGCGACAGAAGTGTAATGAATAATGCTGCTGATTCTCAAAACTGACTAAAATATAACACGTCAAATTCATCCTTGTTGAAGCAGCACTGAACCCAATGGAGCTACATTAAGAATTAATTAGGTTCAACATTTCCAGTTTGTATCCTGCGAAGAAAAATATTTCCACCTAATTTAAAGCAAAGCCAGTTTTAATTACCTTTGGCTGTGCTGTTATCCATGGTTTGGAAAATTAAGTCCTTTTCAACAGAAGCAGTGAAGTCCTCAAGGGGCTGAATGTGATTTTCCTGCTTAAGCCCTCTTCTGACCAAAGTGAGTCGAACTGTTTGTCCTGTATGCCGCAAAACCTCTACTGCTTGTTGGTTAGTAAAGCCCTGAAGATTTGTTCCATCCACCTGAAAGATTAAATATCTTATTAATCAGAAAGCCATTACATGGAGAGAATATTTTTTTTTAAACCCACATTTTTCCTCTAAGGCAAAATAAAATGCCAAGGCCACAACTTGTTTAATCTGAGTATAAAACAACTCGAGGGCAAATGCATAAAACCCAATGCTACTGTATACCAGGCATTGTGTCTATAATACCCTGCTGCTACCACCACCATACTGGCAATAGCTGACTCTCATGGCAACCAGTGTTCTCAGCCCTTTATCACGTAGGCCAATTCTGATCAAGATTACATAGCAAAGCACTTAAAATGCTGGTAGGCTCCCAGTAGCTCTGTTCACACTGGGGCTCCCAACAGTCCAGAAGCAGAATGAAAAATCTTTTGAAATAAAGCATAAGAGAAGGGAAGAACAGAAGCATTTCTTACTACTGTACAACTATTCCTATTTGTATGCCATATTAAAACTTCAAACCCTCTTCTCTGTTTATTAAGTATTTTATCTCAGCTTCACGTAAATTAGATATGGAAAAGCTGTTTTATTCTAGACCAGTGGTTCTCAAGCGTGGGCCATATGACTCCCCAGGGGCCATGCCCTACCTCTAGGGGGACACATGGAAAAAACAGAACATTAGGTAAATTATGTACCTTTTTTTTCCAACTAACAGCGGCTATGAGGGGGATGACAGAGGTAAACGAGGCTCAGAAGGGGTCCATGAGCTAAAAAGGTTGAGAAACACTGCTCTAGACCATCAATCCAATTCCCAAGCCAATCAAAGATTGTTTGTTTGGTTTTGGTGTTTTTTATTTTGTTTTGGTTTTTTGGCTAGCGCACTGTTTTAAAAGGGCTGAGCAATGGGGATTCCACCACTGTGAAACTCTTGTATGGTCTAATAAACCTAAATTTAAATTAATTCCTGATACTCAGCCTAAGTTTTCCTTTGCTCAAGTTAATTCCATATCTCTTAGTAACACACTCCTCCTCCTACTCCAAGTCCAAAAACATCCTAAACTATTCCTCTCTCTTTTTGCTATCCTTATCTTTTATAAACTTATCAATGATGTTATATCCCTTCACCCAAGAAATTGCCTTCTCTACAGAACACATACACAAGATTAAAATAATGAAGTTTGTGTGTGTGCGCGCACACATACTCTAGTTTCCTTTTTACTTTGCCCATAGGTAAGAGGCCAGTTCTGACATCTCCAAGACAAAAATGATTCCTGCATTTGTATTCTGAATTCCCCCGCACAATGCATCTAATGAAGAACATCCAGAGAAGTTAAAAAAAAAAAAAACTTTCCAGGTTTTCAACCCTCAACATAAGTATTTTTAAAGAAAGATTGTATTTCATCTCCGAAGAGCTAAAGAACGATAATGGAATATTTTAGTAGGTCAATTTGGAAATACGGAACAAGCATGTATTCTGTAGAAGTACAGAACTCTCTACTGTCAAGAGAAAACAAAGTGTCATTGATTTCTTACAAAATAAGCAAAAATTCCCCAATTATTTATATGGCTAACGTGACCAGAAAGATAGTGACACAAAATATTCAATCAAAATAAAGAAGCTGTCATTCACACCCAATCTTTATCTCTTTGGATAGGTATTCTAAAATGATACCAGTATATCTAACAAAAAATAGCCCTCCCCCTCCTAAACACCCCCCCTTTGTCTAGGCTCTCATATGCAAATAACTTAACATACTCAAGAGTTGGCTGTACAAATCTTATGTCCATATTTACTTACAGCTATAATTTGATCTCCAACATGGATTCTACCATCATGTTCAACAGCACTGCCTTTTGTAATGCTTTTCACAAAAATACCAGAAGGTTCTGTGATTTTAAAAAACAAAGTTATTTAAAACCAAACATGTCCAAATTATGCAACAATATTTTCCCCTCCCCTCAAAAAAATCTGCTATCAGTGTGAGGTAAGCAAATATACTATCATCTCAGAACTTCATCCAACTCCTTTCCCCCAACCTTTTAAAGGATTATTTTAGAAGTTGTACTTTCAGATAGGATAGAATAGGAGCAATCATGATACTGTTTTAAGATTTTTCTAGCGGTCTCAAAAATCTCTCTTGGCTGAAATGTGACATGCAATTTTGAACATTTTAAAAAAATTTATAGAGCTATTATAAGGTAGATGACCTTTTCTAAAAACTTACTTTCATTTTAAAGGAAATTTTTGAGAGAGTAAATTACTACTCAAGACCTAGCTGATGTTATTTTTAAATTGGTTAATCAAATTCTGCTTTTATTTACACCATTTTATTGCAAATCTCGACAAACTATTAATCTGAGCTATTCTAAACTTGCTCTGGTGCAACTCAAAGCATAATCTGGCCCAATGAGTTTTCTTGGGGAAAAAAAAAATCTATTGTGCACATAAAGTAATTTATTCTTCTTATAATTTCAACTATATTTTGAGAGAACTGATGTAAAAACTTATTATACATATATATGAGGCAAATAAATACTGTACTATTATTTAAACAATCATACCTTGCCCCATAGTTATTCTCAAATAGCTGCTGCTGTGTTTTCTATCCCAGTACGTATTGAAAAAAATGTAAAGGAATTACATTTTGATCATATGAAATATCTGTTATTATAGTAAACATTATCATCATCCTTTTTGAGGGTTCTGAGTAGTAATGCAGACATCTAATTGTAGTCTAGTGACCTATCAGGTCAAAAGAAGCCTCAATCATAACAGCTTGGAAGGAAAACAATTTATTTATTCCCCTTTTCCTGGTCTCATATCTGACTCACTAAAGCAAGGATGTGGTCTCTGAAATGTTGGATGTGTCTCTGAAATGAGGATGTGTCTCTGAAATGTTGCTAACTGAATTGTTCCACTGCACATTGGTATACAGGTTAAACATCTCTAATCTGACACTCTCTGGCCCAGCAACATACGCGGTCCAGCATGATTTTAATTAGCCGGATGTCCACTTTTCATGGTGTGGCCAAGTTTCCCACAGTCCCATAACATTTGTTTACAGTCACCAGTCCTGGCTCTCAGTGTTCTGTTCTTTCATTTAGCTCTATTTTACCCCCTTAATATCATCTAAGCGCCCAGTAAGCAGTGAAAGTGTTGGTACTGATGCTAGACAATATTGACCTTTTACGGGCCAGCAAATTCTTTGTACCAGTCAGGTTCAAAGGATGCCAGACTAGAGAGGTTCAACGTGTATGAGGAAACTTTGCTATCTAAGAAAGAAGCTGGTAATTTTACTTATGCCTCCAACCACAAAAAGCCTTGTTAACGAATAGCTGTGGCTGCACAGAAGCACCGAAATACTTCTAAAAAATTGGAAGATCACTATCTGAGACCTTATCTAGACCTTGTAACATACCTCTGCATTTTAGTGTGGAGCTAACAAGATCCTTTATCACTCTGTGGTACACTGAAGCAGGAGACTTTTAGCTGTCATTTTCAAGACTGCTACAAAATCTTAAAACAGAGTTTCATAATGATTTTTTCTATTCTATCCTATTTGAAGTTGCAATTCCTAAAATAATTCTTTAAAATATTGAGAGAAGGAGTTGGATGGAGCTTTTGCTCTTTAAGTACCAAAAAGTTTAAAATCAAATTAAAAATGCATGTGAACTATTCTAAGATGCAGATATATAAAAAGCAAGTTTCACGGATTTATTAACATTACCTGAGGTTTTGTCTCCAATGTAACCAGCAATAGTTATTCCTAATCCTTGGAGGTTTTTAGTGAGCTCTACATCAAATTTCTCTCCATCTTCATCAATATCAAAAGAAATCTCTGCCTAATGAGTGAAAAGTAAAAGGAAACTGTTTTAAGAAGCTATATTACATGAAGTCAAACATTAGAGACAAATGTCAAAGTAGCAACTTCTCTACTGCTCCAACCACGATATTCAGATAGCCATACTGTACAGAGTAGAAACAGAAACGTTCCTCACCAGAATATTAATGGAATTCTGACATCTCTCAAAACACACGTTCGCACACAAATGCGGAATAATAAATGACAGATGAAGCATTAATAAAGCTGAGCAATACACATCCTAAACAATAATATACTCAATACATTCTTAAATACAGTGATACATGCAATTCTGAAACTCCTTTAATTTCAGCTTTAAATGGTTCGCAAAGGCTTGTGCTAAACTTAAAATAAACTGCAAAACAAAAAGTTTTTCTAACTCCTAATTTTTCAAATAAATGGCCAGTAACTATAATTAATTTTTTCTTATACATGCCAAGTTTAAAACATAATGGAATCTATTTCCAGTGAAACAATTATGTTTCCTGTTTTTAGCAAGACTTGAAATTTCTATTTTAGAAGGTAGCAATTATACTTCCCACTATTTAAATAATGACAATTACCACTAACACCCACTACAATCCTCTGAACTTCTGTGGCAGAGAAGGATTTTGGTAATTAATTCATTTATTGCTAACGGAAATGCTCTGATTACAAGAAGAGAATGAACATTAAATGGCCACATCAGCAACAAATGTCTTATTAAAATAAACGCTGAAAACTTAACTTTGAGGCATTAAGTATATCACTTTCACAGAATTTGCTTTTTTCTGATGTTTAAAATAAATGTTCTGTCCATCGCCAGCAAAATCCTTGCAAGAGTACTGCTGAATAGACCGGTACCCGCGATAGCAGATGATCACCTCCCAGAGACACAGTGTGGCTTCAGAGCCAACTGTAGGGAGCTCTGGGTAGAGGTAGTACCTTTGTTTTTCTGGTAGCTGCACTCAATTTTTGAGTGGACGGAAGCACTGGTCCTCATCCATCTCCTAAATCTCTTACGTCTGGATCCTAGTGCCACACCCCAGTAAACCGCTTCAGCTGGCGGGCTAAACGACGTGAGGGGGTGATGTTTACACTGCATCACTGAGCGAATGAACTCCCACGACAGAGTCACCGGCCAGGGCGGAAGGGTCTTGTTAGGACCCAACAGCCAAGTGTTCGGGACCAAGGCGCACCACTTCGTTATTGTGGATTGCGGCTGTGGCCTACCAGCTATGGTTTGAAATAGCAGGGAAGGTGGATCTCTTTAGCCCTGGAAGGCCGTCTGCCTAGGAGAAGGGAACTCTGATGTAAAACCTACAGCCCGAGGACCTCGCTGTCACTGTCCCAGCTTGCTAGGCCATGGCAGCTGAACCCCGGGTTTAAAGGGTGGAGCCAGTTCTGCGCACACTGCACTCCACTTGAAAACTCCTTTGCGCAGGCAAGAAGGAAATACTCACGTCTACTTCCCCCAGTCTCACTAAGTCCTGTAGCGATGGGAAAGGGGCGAACTCGGCAGGTGTAAGATGACACTGCCAGCCGCAGTCTCAATCCTGCATGCAGGCGGCTCAGGCGCTAGTGGTCTTCTGATGATGACCTGGAGATGACATCATCACTCGGCAGCACCCTGAGCGACCAAGCAGCCTTTTTTAGGGACAGCACTGCTTGCTCCACATGGAGAGGGGCCTAGAAAAGGTAGCCTAAACAAAGCTCGTCTCCTTCTCCCCCAGTTGGCTTACCACGGTCAACAGGCATCTCCATATGCGGTCGAACTATATCAAAGAATCAATGGCGCATCCCACTCGCCTTAAAAGGTGGAAAAGGACTTAAACTCACATGCTGGAACATCAGAACCATGTTAGACTCAGCCGACAGCACTCGACCTGAGCGACGATCCGCTTTAATTGCGCACGAACTCACTAGGCTGGATGTTGACATCGCCGCACTTAGCGAAATCCGCTTTTCAGAGGAAGGCAGTCTAAGACAGAATGGCACAGGTTATACCCTCTACTGGTCAGGCAAACCAGCGACAGAGAGACGCCTTTCAGGTGTCAGCTTCATGATCGGGGACTCCATCGCTGCCAACCGGCCACTCTGACCGCATCATCTCAATGCGTCTACCACTTCGTGACCAGCAACACGCCACACTGTTTAGTGTGTATGCTCCAACTCTCCAGGCAGACCCTGCTGACAAAGACAAGTTTTATTCTGACCTACGCAGCCTTCTGCAGAATGTTCCAGCTGATGACAAGATTGTCATCCTGGGTGACTTCAACGCCAGAGTGGGAAGAGACTCAGAAACCTGGAAAGGAGTACTTGGAAGGCATGGTGTGGGCAGCTGCAATGAAAATGGACGCTTGTTACTTGAACTCTGCGTGGAACAGCAGCTTTCCTTTACCAACACTATCTTCCAGCAGAAAGACAGTCTGAAGACAACCTGGATGCACCCTCGGTCAAAACACTGGCATCTCATAGACTACATCTTAGTGCGCCAGCATGATCTAAAAGATGTCTTTCTCACCAGTGTAATGCCCAGCGCCGAGTGTCACACAGACCACCGCCTTGTCTGCTGCAAACTCAGCTTCCACTTTGAGCCCAAACCAAGGAAAGGTGGCGCCCCAAGGAAGAAGCTCAAAGTCTGCAGCCTTCAGTCTGCTGTGGTCAAGGCGTTTTTCTAGGAGAGCCTACGATCCAGGCTAGAGGAACCGAGCTGCCTAGCAGACTCGCCTCCGGCTCCAGAAGTGCTGTGGGATCATATCAAAACCGTTGTTCTGCAAACATCTGAAGATATCCTTGGATTCTCCATGAAGAAGAACAGGGATTGGTTCAATGAGAACAACTTAGAAGTCCAAGAGCTGCTGTCAAAGAAGAGGTCAGCACACCAGGC